AGACGGTCACCAAGATGGAACACACTTGAGCACCCAAGCCCAGACCTTCCTGCCTCTCTGACCACCTTCTCTTCCTTACCTCTTGACCCAGGCAAGTCCTTCCTCTGCCTGAGCGGGCTCCCTGCGGTGTGCCCCTCCTTTCTGCCCCATTTCTTCAACCTCATCTCCAACCAGCCCCGTCCTGCCTCTTGCAGCATTTCTGTTTCTGCATAGACTCCCTCCATTCAGCACGCACGCACGCACACTCATGTTTCTACACTAGGTTAAAATACTCTCCGAAGTTCACTGAAGATCAAGATAGCTTTTTAATATGTGAAAAAGTCTCAGGTAAAGTCCATGAAAAAAATACAAAGTGATTACCATGAGCTCTCACATTTTTCACTTAGCTTAATAAAAGACAGAAATGCCAAGAAGAACCAGCGTTAATAAAGAAATGGGGACCTACAGTTCACTGTTGGTGGGGTAAATGATCACAACAACATCTTGAAGAACAACTTGACAATGTTTTTGCAAATTAAAAAAACCATATCCATACATCAGAATTTTTATAGGAACTTTATTCAGCCCCAGCTTGAAAACAATCATGATGTCCATCAACAGAAGAAATGGATCAATACATTATGATATGTCCTATAGCTGGAAGGCTAAACAAACCCCAAAAGCACACTGAATAAAAGCCAGACCCCAAACCACATCATATTGTAGATTTTCTTTTTAAAAGTCTCAATGCATATAAAACCAGCTGGACGTGGTGGCATATACCCAGCTACTTGGGAGCCTGAGGCAGAAGGATAGAAAGTTGGAGGCCAGTCTGGGCCATTTAGCAAAACTCTGTCTCAAAGAATAAAAAAAGAAAAAGGAGGGGTGGGGGATGTAGTCCAGTGGTAAACCACTCTCCCTAGCATGTGTGAGGCCCTGGGTCTGATCTCCAGTGCCCCCTCCAAATTAAGAAATGCACAGAGTAGTTAAGCCAGCAATTCCCACTCTAGGAAGTGGTCCTGTAGTTTTCCTTGCATGTAAGCAAACTATGGATGGGCTTGCTGCTCTGGGCAAACTGGAAACAACCTAGATGTCTTGTTATTTAGCCAGAAATGTTAAATCAATTTTAACATATCCATTCGATGGAATATTATCTAACCATTTACAAAGAATGAGGTTGATATTTATGAGCAGATATGCAATAATCTTCAAGACAGTGTGAAGTCAACAAGCAAGGCTCAGAAAGTATGCAGCACACTATTCTCTGTGCAAGAGTGTGAGTGCATACACATGGACTCTGCAAGCACACGAGAGTGGTGGCATTCCAGCCTGCGGGACTGTGTTGTGTTCTCTTCACAGGCATTACACACTGGCCAGGTCCAGTCCCTCTGCTGGACCACACCCTCCCCAGAGGCCTGTGGTGATGACAGGAATGTTTCCCTAGTCAAAGACTTGCAACTGTCTTGAGCTTAGAAACACGTCAATAGCTCTCTGACCACAGGCGGGGCCACAGTTGGGTCTGGCAGCAGCCACAGCTTTCCTGGCTGTCCAGAAGATAGGCTAGACGTGGGAAGAATTGGGATTTATGCCCAAAGAGCCCTTAGCCAACTCTCTTCCCAAGTTCCCAGGTAACCCAGGGAGTAAAGACAGGGTCTGGGGTGTGAGCTGCCGGAACTCCAGGTGCTGAAAAAGCCACTGCCTCCATGCAGCAGGAATGGGTGTGGGCAGGTCACAGGACTTGGCCACGGTCATAATGATCTGGATTCAGGTCAACTTCAGCCCATGAACTCAGCCTTCCACTGAGCTATCCTGCTGCTTGGGGGAGTCGGAAAGCACTTCATCCAAAGTCACGCTGCAATCTTACAGTCAAAGTGGACTAGTGTTGGCATGTTCTGCAAAATAAAAGACAGTGACTTGATGGGACATGGGGGCACATGGTTCTAATGGGAAAGTGGGGGGCAAGAAGGCAGAGGAAAAGCAAGTGAGGAACTGGCTGGAAATGATGCAGGAAGTGCTGACAGGAGCCTGGTCAGGAAGAGTCAAGGAATCCTGGCTAAGAAGTACCAGTTTAGTCCCCCTGGGGTTTTGACTATGGTTTGGGTACCTGTCCACTTCTGCAAGATCCTTCTAGCAGGAAGGTGAGGAGCAGACTACAGGTGGTCAGGCTGGAGGTAGGGAGACCTGTAGGGAGGCAATAGCAACCATTCAGGTGAACCCAGATGGTGGTCTGGATGAGGGCAGGAGTGGGTGATGACAATGTTTGAGAATATTTAGGAGGGTTTGACATAACTGGTGAAAGTAAACAAGAGCAAGAAAGGGAGGAGTCAAAGGTGATGCTCTGATCTCTAGATCAAGGAACAGGACATCAGGAGTGCCCTGCATGGAGGTGAGGAATTCAGATTTGGGCAGAATATGAGTTCAGTTCCAAGGATGCTGAATGAGAGGTGTCTGTAGGATGTCCAAGTGGGGAGGCCAGTAGGCGTTCACCTTCCTTCACTCAACAGCTGCCATGTGGCTACATGGACAAACTAGACCAGCCCCCTACCAGGGAGTTCCTGCTAGTGGGGGAATAGCAAATACCTGATGAATGGGAAAAGTGCCTTGGAGGAAGTAAAAAGAGCAGAGAGAGGGAGTAGCTGGAGGTCAGCTCTAGACCACAGGTACTCTGGAAGAGGCTTCTCTGCAGAGAGGACAGGAAAGATGGGAGGCTACGCCCAGGAGAAAAGCAATCAAGGGAACAGCAAGTACCAGGCCTGGGAGACAGCAAAAGGGCCAGTGTGACAAATGACCAAGAGGGGGCATTGACTCTTGTCCTAGTTTGTTTTCTATTGTTATAACTAAATACCTGAGAGCAAGTCACTTACATGGAGGTTTTTTTGGTTCACAGTTCTAGAGGCTGGAAAGCCCAAGAAGATGGTATCAAACTCTGTTCCGCTTCTAGCGAGGACTTTCCTGCTGCATCATAACATGGCAGAAAGTACGGTGAGCTAGCTGGGGTCTCTCTTCTTTTTCTTGTAAAGTTACTCATGCTATCATGATTTTATTTAACCCTAATTACTTCCCAAAGGTTCCACTTCGAAATAGCATTAATATATGACTTTGGGAATTGAATTTACAACACAAGAATTCTCAGGTCAAACATTCAAACCATAGCAATCCTACGGCCTGGTTTGGGAATGTAAAGGCAAATGAGGTTGGGATGGAAGAACTGTATTCCTGAAGCTCACAAACTGCAGTAAGGACTGTGGATATTGCTCCAAGCAGCCCACAGAAAAGCTTAAAGATCCCTGAGAATGATAGGTGGGAAAATGATAGTTCTGATAGGTATGGACACATTAGGAGCCAGTTAGAAATCTAATGTAGACAAGCAGGCAAAACAGAATAATCAAGTCTGGCTGGGCATGGTAACGCCCGCCTATAATCCCAGCGACTTGGGAGGCTGAGACAGGAGGATCATGAATTCAAAGCCCGCCTCAGCAATGTTGAGGCACTTAGCAACTCAGTGATACCCTGTTTCTATACAAAATAGGGCTGGGGATGTGGCTCAGTGGTTGAGTGACCCTGAGTTCAATCCCCAGTACCAAAAAAAAAAAAAAAAAAAGTAGAATAATCAAATATGTGTCCAAGACTTAAGACTTCATGTGCAGATAGATCATTGGCTGTCCTTCCCAGAGACTTCCTAGAAGTTCATCGGTACAGCTGATCATGGTTAATTCATCTTTAAACATTCCTGGTGCTTTCTTTCCCCACAGTACTGGGGATTGAACCCAAGGGGCTCTCTAACAGTAAACTACATCCCTAACTTTTTTTTTTTGAGACAGTCTCAAAGTTGACAAGCTGACCTTGAACTTGAGCTCCTCTTGCCTCAGACTCCTTAGTCTCTGATTATATGCCTTCCCCACCATGCTCAGGGAATACTCTCTCTTGCCTATTTAATCCCTCTGTTCAACCAGAGTAGGCCTGTGGGTCCCATCTCAGTGCCCTTACCAGCCTGAGAGGATGGCTCTGCCTGCTTATGTGAGTTTGCTGAGGCCAGGCAAGGAACCTGTCCACTTATGAGTTTTCTCCACTGCATCAGGACTCTGAAAATGTGGGCTCAGTGGATGAGTGGAGGGATATCTCATTGCTGCCCTGCAGAGTTGGGGAACACAACGTGCATGGCTCCTGCTCTCCAAGAACTTAGAATTGAGTGAGTGCTGAACTGAGGCTCTGGCGACATTAGTACTGTGGAAACGATTGGTGGGCACTGGGCTCTCTCTCACGCAGGCCTGAGGGCTGGGGGCGCGGGTGGGGGTTCAGGTGATTACCGCCTTGGTCTCCCCAGTCCCTCTTCAGAAATAGATGCCTAGGGAGAGGCGACAATGGAAGACACCGAGAAGCTCGGATCTGGGGGCCTGCAAGAATGTCACCTAGAAGCAACCAGCTTTCAAACTTCTTCCCGGTCTGGGATGCATTTCTAGGAACCCAAGACAGATTAGCAGTGAAAACAAGCAAAGAAAAGCAGGGGTGAGCGCTCTGGCTGAATTCCCGCTACCCGCCGGATCCACTTCACGCGGCCCACGCTCGGGCAGGCGGTAGGTGGCCCCATTGAGTGCGGTGGGTGTCCCCCGCCCAGCGAGACTTCCCCGTGCACTGCTCGCCGCCGCGCCGCCGCGCCGCCGCCGGGACCTTTCGCCTACTTTCCAGGGCCTTAGGCCCCGCCCCCCGGCCCCGACCAAAACACGTGCCGCATCCCGCCCTGCCGGATCACGCCGCGGCCAGGCTGCGATCACGCGGGCCCACGCGGCGCCTATTGGCCAGACGCGCACGGGCCGAGCACGGATTGGCTGAAGGCGACGGGCCCACCCCCGGCGGGGCGCGGCGTATTTTGGTTTGCCTGCGCGCCCCGCCCCCGCGGCCGCTCCCTCCGCGGCGCCCCGCCCCTCCCGCGCTGCGAGGGCCGCGCCGGGGCAGAGCCGCGCGAGCGGGCTGAGGCGCGCGCTGGCCGCAAGAGCTCCGGTCATCACCGCCCGCTGCACACGTGCGGCCGCTGCCGTGCCCGAGCTCACGCCCGCGGCCGCTTTGTTGCTTCTGAACCGCCGGCACCATGCACACGCCAGGCTCCGCGGGCCCGGGCGACGCGCGTGCGGTGAGTGGAGGGGCTGGCGCGGGAGGGGACGCCTGCCTGAGCTAGGGGCGAGGCGAGGGCGCGCCACCTTGCGGGACTGGCGGAGGCGCGGGCTGTGCGGGGTCTCGCGGTTAAGGTACCGCTGGGGCAACCTGGCGGGCTCCGGGGTTGGGCGGGGCGGTGGCAGCACGGGGTCTCGCCGGGCGGGGAGGGGGCGTGTGCTGTGCCCCGCGCAGCCGGACGTGCAGCTTTGTCTCGCGGTTCCCGGCGGCCCCGCCCGGCGCGGGGCTATTTCCAGCCATGACGTCACCTGGGCCCTGTGAGGAGGGTGGCCGTTGGGCGGGGGCGCGGCTGGCGGGAACGCGGCACCCGGGCGGTGGAGGCGGGGCACGGGTAGGGGCGGGGCGCGGGCTGCCGGCGGGAACCCTGCACGCAAGGGGCGGGAATGCGAGGGCGGGGCAAGGTCAGATGGCGGGAGCGAGGCATGGAGGGGGCGGGGCAAGGGGCGGAGAAGCGGCACGCGGAGGGGCGGGGCAAAGGCGGCTGGCGGGAACGCAGCACGAGGAGGGTCAGACCCTTTGCTTCTGGGTCTGGGGGCTGTGGAGTTACTTGCGCTGGGTGGTCGCAGCGACACTGGGAGAGCAGGTCAGATTCTTTTCCACTTGGGCTTCTGTCTAAACTCTGCATTTGTTCTGTGGTTCAGGCTGCCCACAGAGGTTGGGCAAAGTGGTATTTGCAAAGGTGACCTCTGCCTGTTCTCAGAGAGGGGGAAAGTGGTTGGTCAAAGTTTTGCTGCTTAGGCAATTTAAGTGGAAATGGTATCTTTATAGATTTAAGGTTTTCTTTTGGAAGAGACCAGTCAATCCTGGGAAAAGATCTCTCCTGGGTTGTACAGACCTTATGCACACTCTTCCTCTCGCTCCTCCTAGGCTGGGGCAGAACCAGTGCCTTAATGTTTCTCAATCTGCTAAAAGCAGGCTCAGTCACCATGGGATCTACCTGCATGGAGCCCGTGGAGTTCAACCACCAGGGAGTTGAGCGCATGCCCCAGAGAATCTAAAAATGGTCTATAAGGAGGATGCTCTGGTGGCTTTGCCAACTCAAGGAGCTGTCATCAAAAGATCTGGCTCACTGGCAGACCACTCAGGCCTTGTATGAATTCATCTTCCAGGTGACACCTTCACACTAGCCACTTTGACTTATATTTTTGTAGTTAGTCTTATTAATAATTTACCCAAGAAAAACATGAACTCGGTAACCTTTTAAGAGTCTTGGTTTTCAGGGGAAACTGCTTGCCGGCCAGGTCCAGTCTTCAGAACATTGGCTTGAAAGCAGAGTTGTCACCAGTGTTCCATTAGGGTCTTTTACTAGCACACAGAGCATGTTGCCTTTGAAGTGATGCATGGATGCAGGCTTCTGGTGTGCACGTCCATGTGCCTCTGGGGGGTGCCTTCCCTTTTTCCCCCTGGACTGAGAAGACATTGTGTTATGTCACCTGTAGGTTGACATCATGGACATATGTGAGTCAATCCTAGAGAGGAAGCGGCATGACAGTGAAAGGTCTACGTGCAGCATCTTGGAGCAAACAGACATCGAAGCAGTTGAGGCTCTGGTTTGCATGAGCTCCTGGGGTCAAAGATCCCAGAAAGGTGATCTATTAAAGATAAGACCCCTCACACCTGTCTCTGACTCTGGGGATGTCACCACCACCATGCTTATGGATACAGCTGCAGCTGAGCTACCAAAGGACTTTCATTCTTTATCAACTCTGGTAAGAGGAGGGGTGGGGAGAGGAGCCCTAGAGTGGCTTAAATAATTACATTGACAACTCATGGGTTGATTCACTGGGATGCTGGCAAGTAGGTTGCTTACCCCTCTTGTGTGGGTTCACAGGGGTGAAAATTTTCCCTTCATTGCTTGAAAATGTGCACTGAGGGATCATGACCTTCCAGACATGAGATACACGTGGTTAGTGTACCTCAGATAATAACAGATGAATGCAAGAAAATGAAATTTAATTTCTTGGGGAATCTTGGTGGGGGGTGGGAGGGGGTTAGGTTTTCCTTGTGACCCTATCCAGGATTAGGACATGTGGGCAGCTCCTAGAGAAAGCGTGTGCTATGGCATCAGCCTGAACTTTGTTGAAACAGTGGCACCTCTGCCTTCTTGTGGCAGCTGACTTCAGCGAGAGGAGCAGTGGATCCAGTACTGGGAGTCCTTTGCACCTCAGCATTGGGCTCTTCTGTGGGGCAGCTGAAGAGACCCGGGAATTGTTGGGCACTGTCTGAAGGCTTGGTTCAGTCAGAACCACTGATTAGATTTTTTGAGGACTTGAGATTATTGTGAAAAGCTCTGATTTTGAAGTTTAAATTTGTTTTCTTGTTATAGTCCTAAGGCTAAATTACTCATTTTAGTCGTTGTACAAGGCTTTAGCAGACATTGCCTTTTCTTCCAACAGAGCAAATGCATGATTTAGGAGGGGTCAGAACAGAATGAGGAGAAGCTGAGACAGTGAGTGCCTTGCGTAGCCTTAAGAGCTGCTGGGGCCTTCAGCAGGCTCAGACCAGTCTTCCCTCCATGCATCTTTAAAAGGCATTGGGGCAATGTGATCAAATGAGTTTCTTTTAAAATTTAACCAAAATCTTTTCACGTGGAACTTTTTTTTTTTCCCTTAAGTGCATAACTCCTCCTCAGAGCCCTGATCTCATGGAGCCATCGACAGGGACACCTGTTCCTCCCCAAGTAACCGATTCCAAAGCACACAGGGTCATGGCCCTCCCGCTATCTTCATCGGTGGCAGCCAGAGCACTGAACAAGAGGACTGAGAGGGGCTTGCCAAGTTTGAAGCTCGAGCCCCAGGAACCAGCTCCTGCGCCCAGCTGCAGGGCCTTGGTAACAAGTGTGATCCGCCACACGGGGGAGAATCCTGTTCCTGCATGCTTTCCTCCTGCTCAGATGCAAGAACAGCGACTGTCCAATAGCAGAGAAGGAGAAGCACAGTTTCTGGGACATTTGGAAGCTTTGCAGGATACACGCCTTGCAGACAGTTTACTCATTGCTAACGCTGTTTCCTGTCAGCCTTGCTTGCACGGATCTGGCGGCCTGCTCCCCACCGACAAAGGCCCGCAGGCGGGGTGGCCTGCTGCAGTTCAGCCCTGCTCACCAAAGAATTTTGAAAATGACTTGCCAAGGAAAACCACCCCTCTGATTTCTGTTCCTGTCACCAGTCCCCCTGTCCTGTGCCAAATGATCCCTACAACTGGACAGAGTAGCATGTTCTCTGCATTTTTGAGACCCCCTCCCCTATTGTCTGTGGGGACTGTCAAACCCATCCTGCCTCAGGCTGCACCCATGCCCCAGCCTGTGTTCATGGGCCCGCCCATACCTCAGGGAACTGTGATGCTGGTGCTGCCGCAGAGCACTCTAGCCCAGCCTGCTACCTGCCCATCCAGTGTCATGGCTGTTGGGAACACCAAGTTGTTGCCCCTTGCCCCTGCTCCACTGTTCATTGCCTCCAGCCAAAACTGTGCCCCTCAGGTAGACTTCTCCCGGAGGAGAAACTATGTTTGCAGCTTCCCAGGCTGCCGAAAGACCTACTTCAAAAGCTCCCATCTCAAGGCCCATCTTCGCACTCATACAGGTAAGCACTGGGCAGGTAGGGTAATGGGAGCAGCAGACCCTCTGGTTAGGAAGCATATCTGCAGCCACCTCTGAGTGGGAGGCAGGAGGACTGCTGGAGTGGGTAGGGGATCATTTTTTTTTTTTTTTGGTTCTTTAAAGTCCTTGTGATCTTGCAGGAGTTGGAATTGTTAGCACAACCATCAGCACCACTGCTACCCTGTCTGGGTGGAATGTAGGATGGCTCCATTATTGTGGTCCTTCAACAAGTTTTAGAGTACCTTACAGGGCCCCATCTCTCTGTTTTGTAGTAGATATTCATGGTTTCTTTGCATATTTATTTCTTTGTGTGCTGTACTGGGGATTGAACTCGGGTGCTCTACCACTGAGCTACACACCCAGCCCTTTTTCTTTTTAATATTTGTTTTTTAGTTTTAGGTGGACACATAATCTTTATTTTTATGTGGTGCTGAGAATTGAACCCAGTGCCTCACGCATGCTAGGCGAGCACGCTACCACTTGAGCCACATCCCCAGCTCTTTTTATTTTTAGATAGAGTCTCCAAGTTGCCAAGGCTGTCCTCTGAAACTTGCCATCCTCCTGCCTCAGCCTTCCCAGTTGCTGGGATTACAGGCAGGTGCCATCGCACTTGGTTTTTCTTTGCATTTTAGAAAATGCATTCATGTTTAGTGAAAGCATCAACAAGATTTGGGGGAATGTCGGTCTAAACTAGAAAAGTTCAGGTTCTAGAATACTTTTTAAAGAATACAAATACCAGCAGCTTGGGAGGCTGAGGCAGGACGATCATGAGTTTAAAGCCAGCCTCAGCAATTTTAGTGAGGCCCTATCTCTAAATAAAATATTAACAAGAAGGCAAGAATGTGGCTCAGTGGTTAAGCATTCTTGGGTTCAGTTCCCATATCAAAAATAATAGTTTTCTTTGGAGAATGTATAATTTTTAATTCAGAAGGTCACAACAAGAAACTCTTAATGACCTAGTGATGTCCTTGTTGTCTAGTCAGCTTTGCCCAGTAGAATTTTTTGCAGTGAATAAAAGGGTGTTCTATTTGGATAGCCATGTGCACTTGAAATGGGGCTAGTGTGACTAAGGAACCAAATTCTACTTTCTCATTAATTGAACTTAGTTTTGAAGGCTCCATGGGCTGGTGGCTGCCATGATGTCTGACAGGGCTGAGTGCTGCCTGCTAGAGAATCAATCCCTTTTCTGGATAAGGACAGCGTTTTTCAGGTGTCCAGTGAGTGAGTACTCTGTAGTGCTGCTGTTTGTTTTGTTTGGGGCACTAGGGATTGAACCCAGGGGCACTCAATCCCTGAGCCACATCCCCAGCCCTTTTTAGTTTTTATTTTGAGACATGGTCTTGCTAGGTTGCTTAGGGCCTCACTAAGTTGCTAAGGCTGGCTTTGAACTTTGCAATCCTCTTGCCTTAGCCTCCTGAGCTTCTGGGATTACAGGCATGTACCACCACCCCTGGCTGTTTGTATTTTCCAAGGATCCTATAGTCACTTGTTCAACTTGCCTTTTTGATACTCATGTTACATATAAGCACATAAGGTACGCCATTCAGTAAAGATGTGTTTCATAACTCTTCATGGAACCCCCTTTCCATCAGAATGTCCAGATTGTGGAATATAAAATAGGAAAGACTGACTGGAGAGAGTTTTGTTTTTTGTCTTACAGAACCCCAGGCCTCATGCATTCTAGGGAAGTGTTATACCATAGAACTATATCCCCAGACCTTTTTAAATTTTGAGGCAGGGTCTTACTGAGTTGCCTAGAATGGCCTTGGACTTGTGATCTTCCTGCCTCAGCCTCAGTAGCAGGATTACAGGTGTGTACCACCATGGCCAATGCTTTTAAGATAGGCTGGTTTCTAATTAGTGCAGTGCACCTCTGACCATAGCAGCCTTTGCTTGCAGCATGAAGTGCATGTTGGTATTCAGACATTCCAGAAGGAGCTGTTCCTCCATATAGCTATGGGGTGGCTATTTGCTTTGGAGAGACAGCCCCAAGCCTGGCCCATGAAGTACTTGCCTCTTTACCTGAGCAAAGAGGCAAGTGCTTCATAGGCCAGTCTTGGGGCTGTCTCTCTTTGCCTCCTTTGACCTTGTTTCTCCAATACCAAATTTCCACCCTTCTCCCTCAGCTTTCTTTCCATGTGCTTACTGAGACCCTGAAAGGGCTTGTTTCCTGATCTTATTTCTTTGGTCTTAGTTTATTATGTGTCCCATCATCTCCCTTTGTCTTTTAGTTACTTATGCACTTGTCTTATCTCACCTAGATATAATACCTGGTGTCTGATTCAAGAGTCTGACACTAGTAATGATGGCTGGCTCTTCACTGGGTGGGTGTAGGGCTGTGTCAGAGTGAAGGGGTGCTTCTGAGGAAATCAACATGATCTGCTCTGCTCTCATGGGCTCCTTGGTGTGGCAAGCTCTGCTTTTTTTTTTTTTTTTTTAAATAAATTTTTTAAAGTTTATATATGACAGCGGAATGCATTACAATTCATATCACACATAGAGCACATTTTTTCATATCTCTGGTTGTATACAAAGTATATTCACACCAATTCATGTCTTCATACATGTATAATGTCCATCACATTCCACCATAATTTCTAACCCCATACCCCCTTCCACCCTGCCCTATCTTTTGAGTTCGTCTATTCCTCCCATGCTCTCCCTCCTGACCCCACCATGAATCAGCCTCCTTATATCAGAGAAAACATTTGGCATTTGTTTTTTGGGATTGGCTAACTTCATTTAGCATTATTTTCTCTAACTCTATCAATTTACTTGAAAATGCCATGATTTTATTCTCTCTTATTGCTGAGGCTCTGCTTTTAGTAGAGCCTATCCAGATGAACATATAAGGCATGGATTCCAGATTTGGGGAGGTGACTGAGATTTTCATGTTTAATCAGTCAGCCTCCCTGGGTAGAGACACTATCAGAATCATAAGAAATACGGGCATCTAAACAAGCTCCTTTCATGTTTCCCAAAGTACTTATGTTTCAATAACATGAATGTTCTGGAGAATCCCCTTCTTTTATACCATTTTGTAAACACTCCATTGGAGTTTTCATGAGAAATAGATTTGGGTAACTTTACTTGGATAAGATCACTTTCTATATATTTCTACCAACCTGAAAAAACACATTTAAACTGGAATAAGGTAAAGTGAATGGAAGCTCCATTTTGGTAAGTTGAAAACAAGTAGGGGACTTTATAAATCTCATGCAAAGGCTGGCAGTCTGTCCAGCTCCTGGACGCTGGATGTGCTGTTGATGTGGTGGAGCCTGGGAACAAGTAGGCAACTGTCGGAGTTGGTTTTTGTCGCCTTACCAATACCTGAGTTCAAGTAATTTGTGAAGAGTAGAGGCCTATTTAACTCAGTTCTGGAGGCTAGGAATCCCAAGATCCTGGCCCAACATCAACTCAGCATCTGGCCCAGGCTTTCCTGCTGTATCAAGACATGGTGGAGGGCACCACAGGAGAGACAGCAACTGCTGGAGAACTTGCTTTGATAGCAAAGCTATCAGTCCATAGTGGATTAATCCATTGACAAGGACAGAGCCCTCATGACCTAGCCACCTGCCAAAGATGCCACCTCTCCGTTAACATAATGACTTGGGGGATTAATTTTCCACCACATGAAATACGGGGAACACGTTCAAATTGTAGCAGCAACCTTATGTGTGGGGGTCTTTAAAATCTATAAAATTTCAGGCACTACTGTGTTAATTATAAAGTTTATAATGCTGCTGAATTTTCTTGTTACTTCAATTCTGAAAAATATCTGTTGGTACCTCTTCAACACTCATTTATTCAAAACAGTGTATTTGCCACCTGCTATAGGAAGTGCAGTGCCAGGAGTTCAGCTGTACAGAGATGGGTGAACTAGACATGGAAAGACAGGTTGCATGACAGAGTGTGTCAAGCTAGTGATCATGCAGGCATCATGTGATTATGGTAGCCTGGTGAAGAAGGGCTTCAGGATGCCAGAAGGGGCATGCTCCTGCTGGCTAGGAAGACCTTGGTAGGCTCTGTTAAGGGGACGACCATGTCCCCTGCAAGGCTCCCTTGCTTACCTCCCAACTCCAGGAAGACACAATTGGGTTCCTGCCAGTGCTCTGGAACTTTGAATAACAAACACGTTAAGTTTGTAGCAGAAGGTGTCTGAACTCTAACCTTTCCATTTTGTAACTAACCTATTTGTCAGTGAAATAAGAAATCTGGAGAGGAAATTAATGATTGTGAGAAGTCTTAAAGATTCTTAGTGGGATTTTTTTTTTTAAATGTGCAGTTCATCCTGAGGCGGGGAGGAATTATTCCTTTCAAGAATCTTGTCCCTAACGCTAAGCTGTAACAGCAGATTTATTTAAAAATAAACTTCGAAAGGTTTATTTGATGTCTTTGAGCTCTACAGACTATTTATTACCTCTCAGGTGTGGGAGGAAGAGAATGTGTTTTGGAGGACTTCTTGATTCTAGATCACCTACCATCTGAATAATAAAATGTATTCTGAGATTTTGATGAACAAAATTTTTAAAGAATGTAAATTCGCCTTAAGGCTCTAAGCGTGTTTTCTTTAATGTGATGGTTTTCACCTCCCAGGGGAGAAGCCTTTCAACTGCAGCTGGGATGGCTGTGATAAAAAATTTGCGCGTTCAGATGAACTGTCTCGTCACCGCAGAACTCACACAGGGGAGAAGAAGTTCGTGTGCCCTGTGTGTGAACGGCGTTTCATGCGCAGTGACCACCTGACGAAGCATGCCCGTCGCCACATGACCACCAAGAAGATCCCAGGCTGGCAGACAGAGGTCGGCAAGCTGAACAGAATCGCCTCGGCGGAGTCTCCTGCCAGCCCCCATGCGCCCCTGCCTGCCTCTTCCTGAGAGTGGGTGGGCGTCACTGTGATTCCTTGGGAATAGCTGATGGCTTCCTCTAAAAACAAGGCCTCAGAGGCCCAGGAGCTGGTTCCGATAGTGTGTTAACCCTTCTTTTCTGGTTGGGACCCTGTTCAGTATCTTTTGTAGTTTGAGAAGTTTCTTTCCTTCTTTGTCTTTCTTTCTTTCTTTTTAAAGGAAATAGAAGAAAATTTGATGATCCAAATCACCAGCATTCAAACATTTCGGCAATAAAGTTTACAAAATCTGGATTTTTACAACCTTCCTATTCATATTTTGTAGAAATGAGACAGGGTACTAATTTTATACTGTTTTTTATAAAAATATTTATATTGTTGGTGCTCCAATCATCAGTTTCTAGATAGATGATTTTACCACCTTATTTTCAGCTTTTAATAGCGAAGTTTTATAATGACTCTGCTTTTGCTTTTAGTAAGCTTCGTACATTATTCAGAAAAAAAAAACGTAAGTTATCAGGTCTTCTCAATTTAAGATTTTTTTTTAAAAAAATAACAGGTTGAATAAGGGCCTCTTATTAAAAAGAAGGAAAGGAAAATTTTGCAGTCAGCTTCATAATGTTTTTAAGAGAAATTCGAGGCAACCAATCCTGTAGCCCACGTAACTAAATTCTGGTTGGCTAGAACTAGTCATTTGTGTGTGTTGCGTGACCTGTAAAGGATGCACTGGGGTTTACTCAGGGCACTGCCAGCTCCTGGTGCTGGGGCTGCTGCGTGATCTGAGCATCTGTGTGCTGTTGCTATCTGGGCCATTGCTCTGCTGAACCATTCTTGTTTGTACCTGAGGCCCCCAAAAGAATGCTAGCCCTCAAACCTGGCTGCTTTGTTCATTGTCAGTTGACCTCTTCTGATGTGGCCTTATCCATACTGCATTGTGAGTAGAATGACTACTTAGAAAAAAGGTTTCATGGATCTTCCAAGTATAGTTCATCTGAAGTGAGGTGCAAGTGCATACAGTTGGCGCCAAGGTTCAAGTTCCTTTGTTAAGGATGAAAAACTAGGAAGTGTGTGTTATGCATAACTGGCAGTGTAATCCCACCTGACTGACCTTTCATTCATTTTATTTGAAAGATATTGTTTTGATCAGACAGTCTACCTTGCAAGTAAACCGTGGGCACTGCTTTTTAGCCATGTGAGCACAGATACACAGGAGATTGGCTGCCTGGCGGAATTGGTTTTGGATAAATGTTGGAAGTTCAGGCAACAGAAGAAATGAAAAAAACCAGAATGTTGCACTATATTGGTAGCCTGGGAATATTTTTTGTGTGGATTTGTTTTTGCCTTTTAGTTATTGGCACTTAACCTTTATTAAAATGATGGTAAAATGTGGGGTAAGTAAAATTAGGGTTCGTGTTCAGGTCTTTTTAGTCTAATATAACCCTCTCCTGATCCTTCATTGTATGTTACTTGATACCCATTAAGTTGTCCTTTAGTATCAACTGCTTTTCACCACCGTATGTATGTGTGTGTCTTTAGGAGATTTCCACATTTTGGACAATTCCACAGGTGTATGTTCTTGTTGTCATGAGGCATGATATAGTCACAGGAGAGCGATGGTTGTACATAGTTTGTGTTTTCCCCACCACCCCAGTCCTCCCATCCTCCTAAGTCACCATAAACACTTTTGACTATGTGTGTGTCGTAAATGGCATCAGGTTTGGACAGTTGCTTAATTATGTCATACCAGTGATGCTTGTCCAATGATCTGGGGTAGTGGAAGGTCTTTGAATATTTGGTTGCTTGTGACAGAACTTCATTCTCTGAACAGTATTGTAGATGTATTGAAATGGTATTAATTTAAAACTTCCACTTCCTGATTAGATTTAGAAATACTTTCTGAAAAGTTGGGAAAAAGTTCCCGTCTGAAAAATCCTCCTGAGAACCAAGCCCTTGTAGGCTGCAGTGGGTGAGTGAGGCATCCCTGTGATGACAGTGCGGGTGCTCGGGTGCCCGAGGCCATGCCGGCAAGGCAGGTTCCCCCTGTGCACTTTATTGCCTGAGCAGATTTGCTTGATTTTTGACATTGAGCCTTTTCAGTAGTTTCAGTAAAATTTGTTTCATAATTATGTTTTATGTAACAGACTTTGAATTCTTATTTAAATGAGAATGTGTAATGTAACTTTTTTCTTTGAATCATATAAAACTTTCTTGATTTGCAAACTGGACTTGTGTCCTGTGTCATTAACTGTGCCCAGTGCCTTAGTGTAACACCCAGTGTCTTCCAGGATGAGTGGGCAGACCTGGCCCGACCTGAACTCTCCTTTTTCTCGGGTTTAGTCTGTTTCTTTGCATTCCTTTGGGAGTTCTCTCTGAAAGGAATGTATGAGGAGGTTGCTTCTCTGTTGGCCACCGGGACACACATGTCTGGTCCTGGCAGGATAGGACCCAGCATGCTGGATGACCCTTGGGCCCTCGGGGCCTGTGTTCTTCCCCTGCCAGCGGTGGGTGTCTGCCCGAGGGGGGACTTGGAAGAGGTATGTGGAATCATTTTTGCTGCCTCACTCCAGCCCTTGCCCAGGGTTAAAGACAACGTGAGGGCTCCTCAGTCTTCCTCTGCACGTTCTTCCGTGAGCCTGCTCCCACTGAGGCTACACACAAAGGTATGTAATAAAGAGCTCCTGTGGGTGTCACCAGAGGCTTTGTGGGCTGGGATCTTGCTGTCTGCATCATTGAGCAGAGGTGACAGTGGCCCCAAAGGCTGCAGATGTCTGCTGTTCCTGTCTGTTTGGTCTATTGCTGGCCCTTGTCATCTGGCCTCTTGATTCTGGGGAGTCCTAATACTCATTCTTCGAAACTGCTGGGCTCCCTGGGTCACCTTTCCCAGGCTTCACAGATGTGAAATCTCAACTGTGAAGACCCCGAGGATCGATCTCTCCTTGCACCTCTTGCCTGAACTAGGTAGTCCTGCACCTATCCCGTGACACCTGCCCAGTCTGCATCTCAAACCCGACATGGCCAAGCCCCACCTCTCTTCCCCACCCTTGTTTTTCTCACAGTTGGCCCCATTGTCCTTGAACTGCACATGAGTCCTTGCGGTTCAGGTGCAAGACCTTGGAGTCACTCTGCTCTCACCCCATATCCAACCCGTCACAGTTCTTGACTCATCTTTCAAAACATCTGGGCCATTGGGGTTTCTATGAGTTCTCCACAAGAAAATGCAGAGGTATCATCTTTTTCTTGGAAACCAGTTGAATGTGTCATATTCTAACAAAATGATGATGTAAAGTTGTAAACATTTACATCAAGTTCAAAACCAGATTTACCTGGCAGTAAGAAATAAAAGTTCAACTTCTTTTAAAATAAGCATTCACATTATTAAAATAGTAATGACTTTCATCTTTATATCAAGAGGAATGTTTTGGGCCTAGGAGAGGAACAGTTCCCAGCTTTGGGGAGGATCTAAGCCAACCCCCCAGAGGCTGGTGACGGGCTCTGCTGTTCTGTGCTCTGACTTCGCAGTGCAAGTCTCCCAGCTGCAAGCAGCTGATCAAAGGCACTCTTGTCGACTGTGAAAGTTCACAGAAAGGCTTGTCAGTGAGACTCACTGGCCCGCGAGCACAGGGATGGTGCCAAATGGCTGTCCCTTCCTCAGTTTCTGAGAGGCTCTGGCCCCAGTGCTGGCAGCACTTCTCAGGAAATGGAGGCTGCCCAGGGAGGCCTCGGTGTTGGTGGGTAAATGTGAGATGAGCCAAGATCTCTTATGGCTTCAGCAAAAGCTGCTGTTATTCCATCCAGCCCCTTGACACTGCCACCATTTCTTTCTGCAGGAGGTTCTGGGCAGGCAGGTTTCTCATTTGTCAACTGGGAACATTGGAAGGCTCTTCTGGCCTCGTGACTGGGATTGTCTACCTTCTGCACAGGAAGAAAGGGTGTAAGGCCCTGTGGGGGATGGCCAGGCTACCTGCCAGAGTGGAGCTAGACAGCAGGTACCCTGAGACCCTGTCCAGGTGGCTGGACACCCACTCCCAATACAGAAGGCAGTTTTGTGCACCAGCAGGGTGAGGCCTCAGTGGCAGTGGGAACTGTGTGATCTCAGACTGTCAAAGAGCCTCCAGAACTATCTCTTGGAGAGGGAAGCTGGGGCCCAGAGAAGGAAAGTGAGGAGCTCTGCCATCCCAGCCCAGTGAAAGAGCTGGGGTGGAGATGCCTCCAGCACCACAGAGGCTGAGAAAGGCCTGAAGTCCAGGCCCTACCCCCAGACTCAAGTGCAGCTGGGGTGCTGCACTTTGGCTCTTCTGGGAGCCAGTTAGAGATGCAGAATCTCAGGCCCCACTAGGCCTACAGAATCAGATCTGTACTTCAGCCACATTCCATGGGGTTCATTGCTCATGAAAATCCAGATGCACTGAGTGGATGGGCCTCCTCTGGAGAGTAGCCGGAGGACTGAGGGCACACCTTGGTGCATGTTCCAAGAGGAATCCTCAAGCTCCAAGAGAACCCTACAGACAGGTCTCCACCTATGGCTGGGTACCTGCACAGCTGATGCCCTGGCCAGCAAGTGAAGTTGAAAAGGTCAGTTTGGAAAAGTCCAGGAAGAGCTAGGTTTTGCAGAAGTTCAGCTGAGCCCTGGTGGGGAGTGATTCTCACACAGCCCAGGGTCTATGGAGCCATGGTCACGCCCCTGCACGGCTGACCTCAGCGACAGTACTCCCGCTCTATGCTGGCCATCAGCTCCTCCTCCGCGTAGTCATAGGAAATGGCTGATTGCCTCTCGGGCCTCTTGTGGCTGCTGCTTGGGGCTCTGCAAGCAGAAGACCAGACACAGACAAGATGTTACCTTCAAAGTGTGTCTCTATCAGTGACCACATTGGCCCCAAGCTGAAAACCCCTGCCCAGGGACCTCTGGATCCTTCTTCCCCGACACCCTGATGTGGTCAGCCTTGCCTGCTTCTCTGTCTTCATCATTCCCTCGACACCCACTGAGACCTCAGGCTGAGCAGGAAGCCAGTGCCTGCAGAGTTGGAGAGAGAGTGGGGGGCAGCAGGAGCCCATCCCAGCATGGCCACCTTGGGCTCATCGTTTGCACCCTGAGCACCCTCTTTTTTTTTTTTTCTTCTTGAAAATGGAGCTTGTTCATAAATTTATTCTGAGGCTTAAAAATGATAATGTGTGGACAGAGTGACAGGGTCTCACCCATGGTCAGCCCTCCATCAGGGAGTCTAGAAGCTCCATGTCCATTTGCCAACTCACTTCCTGTGCCTGTACCCTTGGCATGGCAAGGGGACTGCTACCAGGTCAGGGTGGCTGTCCAGGGTCCTGCCACTCCTTGAGCAATCAGGCAGAGTGACTGAGATGGGACCTGAACAGGGCTCCCCTTCCTGCAGCCTGAGCTCAGAGAAGGGCCCTCTGGCCTGGACCCTGCCCTCCACCCGGCCCTGGCTCCCAGGCTCCCCAGACTTTGGACATCTGAGTGGCACTGGCTGTGTCTTCAGTGCTTCCCACAGCTGTGTCGCCTTGTGCAGATGGCCTTGTGCCCACCCATGGTGTCCTGGTAGGACCCGTGGCTGGGCTGGGAGCTGCTACCAGGAGCTGCTGCCTTTGAGGGGGTGGGGCCCAGGTCTGCAGCTGCCCACAGGGTCAGGGTGAGAGGCCAGAGGTGCCTGCCGCTAGTTGTGGGATGGTGACCGCTCCCGCCTCCCGTCACTCCAGCTAGAGAAGGCTCTGCCACTTGCCAGTCAGGCAGCTAGGGCACTTCCTCTTTCCTGGCCTCAGATTCCCCACTTGTGACCTCTGTAAGGTCCACCTGATGCTTTTGGCCAACACTTATTCGGGGAGCAGCCTCCAGGGCCCCATCTGGTTCTCTCAGAACTCAGGGCAAGAACAAGACCTGGGCAGTCACTTGATCACCACCCCGGTGCAGTCCCCGGACTTCACAGGAAGGGTGAGCTCTGACAGCGGGCTCTACGCACACACGGACCCCTCTCACGCCTGACACGGCACACGCTAAGTGCACAGCTGGCTATGGCACTGCATTTATTAAGCACCTACCATGTGCAAACACTCTGCAAAAAGCATGCGCTACCGTTGTTAAAATGTGGGTCTCAGTAAATGTTCCTTCTGCCTTGGAGACACAGTGGGAAGGCAGATCCCAGCTGCTCTGACAGACTTCGACTAGTGGTTCCTCTTCCCTTCACGACTGACCCTTGGGGTGGACAGATGGCACCTGTTGTGTTGGGCACTTGGGATGTACTGAACAGGAGTAGCTGCCTGCAGGGTTCCCTGCCTCACAAGGTCCCAGCAAAGCCTGGTACAGAGGACAGATGCTGTCATTGCACTCCTGTTCCACCCCCTCCTGAGGTCCTCTCCACTGAGGAATATGCCTGAGATGCCCAAACACCCTCCAGGGCAAGCTGGGGACTGTCCTTCAGGAATCCTGGGGCACCACTCTGGGCCTGGGGCACCCCAGCAGGACTTCAAGCCCTTCTGGGCTCATGCAGCCCAGCCCTCTACACTCAGAGGTGTGAAGGGCGAAGCCTGAGGACAGGCGCCCAAAGTCACAGGGACCTGGTTGCAGACTCCCCTCACTCTGTCCTTTCCCACTGGGCACCCCAACACTCTTATAAGTGGGACCCCAGGAAGGAGAGGCAGGAAGTGACACAGAAGGCTGACAGAATGGCCCCGGGCTGGGATCGGCAACAGAGTTGGGCTGTGCCAGGTCTTTGAGGAGCCGGGGCTCCCTGTGTGCCCAGCCACACCCACCATGCCACGGGCTACTGGCCTGGGAGCTCGGCCAGTGGAGGGGGGCAGTGTTGTCCACTCTTCCCCCCCCAACCCCTGCCACTATGGGAGTGGGGCACGCTGTGAAGAGGAAGATCCAGCCCTGAGTAGATTCTTGGGAAGTCATCCCACCCTCTAGGGAATCAAGAAGGAACCTTCATTTAAATTATTAATTATTCAATCAGTTTTTCTTCAGCAGGGATTCCTAAAGTCATACACTATTTTTAAATAAGATATTTTAGTTGTAGATGGACACAGTGCATTTAGTTTTTAAAAATATTTATTTTTTAATTGTAATTGGTTGGACACAATACCTTTATTTTATTTTTTTATTTTTATGTGGTGCTGAGGATTGAACCCAGAGCCACACTCAGCCAGGAGAGCGCTCAACCACTGAGCCACCATCTCAGCCCAAAGTCACACACTTTTTAAAAAAGAAAAAGACCTTTCCAGGGAGAAAGGAGTCTTCCCCAAAGGAAAGAACACGCCCCCCGCCCCCAACAAACCTATCATAATTGGATGCTACATGAAGTGAGGTGAGGCCAGGGACATTCGTACCGGTCTCTTGGGTCAAGACTTTTCTAAAATTTACTAGGCTTCTGACCATGGTGCATCGTGCCTTGGGGCACTCATCAGGGATACTGGGAAGAGTCACTCTCCCTCCTCAGCACCTGTGTCCACTGGCCTAGGGCCTTCCTTGCAGGCAGGCACCTGCAGAAAGAGCACAGCACCGGCAGGTACAGGCAGAGCCTGGAGACTCCTAGCCAGGGCTCCCATCACACCCTCCTCCCTGACTCCCGGCCAGCCCTGCAGGAACAGCTCAGGGGAGCAGCAGCTTCTCCCAGCACACTGCCCCAGCTCTGTTGCTTCCGTGGGTCCCCCTCCCTTGGGAAAGAGTGCCCACATCACAGAGGATGGCCAGGACTCCGGTGGAGGCCCACACACCCAGACTCATCTTCAACATTCCTTTCAACCCACATCTCCAAAGCCCCACCTCACCTGCGCCATGAGGGTCAGGGACAGATCTGTATCTCCCTGCCTGCCTGAGGCCTACAGGCAGAGGGGACAAGGTGGGGTCACAGGTATAGAGAAGGGGCCTGGCTGGGGCTTGCTGAAGGAGGAGATGCCCTCATGTGAAGAGGAGGGGGTGGGATTTGAAAAGGAGGTATCTGAACTGGACTTTGAAAGCTTTTTTACTTTGATAATTTGTTTTGGAAAATTTTAAGTATACAGGGGAGTCAGAACTATAGATTCAACAATTGGGTAAAATGAGAGCAAAGTTGCTATGTTTACTTTATCACATTAACTATCTACTTCATCTGATTTTTCTAACACATCCCCAAATCAGCTACACTGGGCTGGGGTCATGGCTCAGTGGTAGAGCGCTTGCCTGGCATGTGTGAGGCACTGGGTTCGATTCTGAGCACCACATATAAATAAGTAAATAAAATTAAGGTTCATCAACATCTAAAAAATATATATTAAAAAAAATGAGCTACACTGAGGGCCACAGCTCTCCACGCTGCTGGAGGGGTGGTGGTGGGGTCACCCGAGAGTAGACAGACAGGCCTGGTCTCTGGGGAACTTTAAAGAAGAAAAGACTGGGGACCAAGAAGAAAGCAGGGCACAGGAGGGATTTGGGGTGGCTGGAGCCAACAGAATTAGAAGCTTCTGGAGCAGACATGCCCCTACCCACCCCCCACTCCACACTTACTCAGAGGTATGGCTGTCCTCTGGGTGGTCTTCAGCCTGAGGTTCTGGGGACACCTTGAGAAAGACAAAGAAATAGATGTCAGAAGATTGAAGAAATAGGTGTCAGAAGGTTGCAGCTGCCGAATGCTCTGGCTTCGTGACAGGCAGTGGTCACCACATTCCACCCAGAACACTTAAACATCAGAGCTGGAGAGACTCTCAGGCGGCAGAGACCCATCTGCCCATTTCCCAGGTGAGAAAGCCCAGGCTTCGAAAGGGGAGTGACAAAGAGCAAATGGCAGAGCCTTGGACAGACTCCCTGCCTAGCATGACAGCACCCCTCGTACCGCCAGAAGTTGATGGCCACTGTCACTAGCAGGAGGGCACCTGTCTTCACCTCCAGGGATCACATTAGTTCCTAGTTTTGAGAATTGTTTAGTTTCACCTGCAGCAAAGTACGTATGCTATTTCATCAATTAAAATATGAATGTACTTTTAAAAGAACTATGAACAATAAATTTAAAATTTATAAATTACCCAGTCTAAGGAATTTTGTGATAGTATTTTGTTGTTGTTGTTATAGCATCTTGAACTTAAAACACCGGCAGAGGGAAAAAAAAATCCTTAAAGGCAGGAAGAGAGGAGAAGGTCACCGATAAGAAACCCCAACCAATCAATCAATCAATCAGAAACCAAGACTCAGATGGCAGCAGCACGGGGCCACACTAGAATAGCTCCAAAAAATGTAAAAGAAAGTTATTTTGAACTCAAACTTGTAATTCTGAATCCTCATCTAGTGTTAGAGCAAACTAAACACAATTTTCAGACGTACACTCAGAGTTTATCTTTGGCTACCCTTTCTGGGCAACAAATATTTATATAAGATTTTAAAAAATGACTCATAGAAGACCAGAGCTCCGTGAGCCTGATGGACTTAACCCAGGAACACAGGGACATGGGACAGGGGAACATCAGGGTCTGTGCTGGAGCCCTGGAAAGCACCCTGTGCATGTCAGAAGTTTCCACAACCCCAACTGAGTGGCCGGAACAGCTGACTGTGATGGTTCAAGGGCCCTTGTGAAAGAGGAGGCACTTGGTCTGCATGTCGCAGAGAGTGGACCCACAGGGACAGCAATGGGCTCAACACAGAGAACTATCAGACAGAGACTGGGAGTCGCAATGGTTGGTTCTCCTATCAGAGTTCAACACCGAGGCAAGCACACACCTGAAGTCAAGCCTTCTTGTTATAGGATCACCACCCGTGTTCAGCGGTGAAGAAGGGCCTGTGGGGCTCACAAGGACAGTCACCCCGTGTCTTTCACTTTCCTCTCCCCTTCCTTCCAGGCCTGGCCGGCTGGGTTCAGTCCTCTGAGCTGCCACCTTCCTCCCTGTTGGCCTGGCCAGGGGCCCTCTCAGGACTCTGCTCATCATGCTGGTTTGCAAATTTGCAAGGGGACCCTGGAAGGCAAGGAGGGTAGGAAGGACCCCCAGCCCTAAGCCAGGGGCTGTCAGAGAAGACGCTGAGCTGTCTCCTGCCGCCTTTCTGAAAACAGCAATCCCACACAGCAGTGCTGAGCACCAGTCATAGGAACCTGCTTGCTCTGCAGACTTTGGGGAGCTTCTCAGGGGTTTGTTTTTCTTTGAACAGTTGAACAAGATAAGCTCTTCTCCCCGGTATCCTGGCGCATACTCCCATGTGGCCAAGAGAGGCTGAATTGGGCTTCTGCCCTGCAGGAAGCTGCTTATGTTCTCAAATTCTCTTCCATTCTCAGACACTGGGAACCACACAGATCAATCATTCATCAGGTATTCGGTCAGCCTTCCTAGTCTACCCAGGGCTACATCAGCACTTTGGGGACATGGGCTCTGTACCCTCAAGGGAGGGGGAATCTCACTAGATAAGTATGTCCTAAACATCCAGCACAGCAAGATATCTGAGACCAAAGACATCCTGTGCACCAGGAGAGGATGGTGCAGGATGGTTGTCAAAAGACTTGATTTGAAAAAGAAACAGACTCAGTTCTCCTCCTTTTCCTCCTCATTATTGAGCCCAGGGGCACTCTCTCACTGAGCTATATCCCAGCCCTTTTTATTTATTTATTTGCTTGTTTAATTTATAATGCTGACTGCTGTCTCTGGTTTTTTTAAACACCTTTATTTCATTTATTTATTTTTATGTGGTGTTGGGGATCTAACCCAATGCCTCATGCATGCTAAGCAAGAGCTCTACCACTCAGCCACAGCTACCGCCCTCTTTTTACTTTTTGAGACAGGGTCTAGCTAAATTGCTGGCAATTTTCTTATCTTTTCCAAGCATTGACTTTCTCATCTATAAAACAGATTTATTGTGAAATATCATGAAGTGATTGCAACAGTGCCTGGTAGTTAAGAATTTCTCAATAAATACTAGCTGTGACTATTTCTATTACTATCATCAGACCAGTGCTATGTCCTCTGCTGTTCTCTATTATTAACCTGTTAACATTAGTTAATCTTCTCCAGCAAAAACAGCCATTCTCCCAAGTTTATAGAAGTACACAATAAATACTAAGCATTCCCTGAACTATGTTGAATGACTAGTTGTTAACTAGTTAAGATCTTCGGTTTAAAATCTATATTAGCACTTGGCAGAGTGAAAATAGTATAACAGAGAGTAGGATTCAAATCCCAGTTTTGCCATTTAATAAGGATGCGCCTTTAGATGAATTGTGAGGCTCCCTGGTCTCCCTCTGCATAGTGGGGAGGTGCCTCGGGAGTGCTGCGAGATGACAGATAATGGGTGCAGAGAACACCTTTACTATAATAGCATCATTCAGTGATCAGGGAGCGGGGCACTGTCCTAACTCACCATTACCTAACCTAGACTAGCCTCAGAGGCAGCCTTGCTGACACCCTGTGTACTGAGTACACCCTGTGTACTTGGTCTTCAAGGCTGGGGAGAGGCTCCAGGGTGACACATCCTTCCCTGGGAAGCCAGTGCTGCTGTGGCTCTTGGGAAGTGGCATGGCAGTCCAGGGTAGTAAGCCACACATCGGTGTGTCCTGCTGAGGTAGGCCTGGCGGGGCTGGCCGGAAACATTTGCACTTGCCCACCTGGTGGAGGTGGATAGCACAGCACTGGCCCAGGGGTCATGGATGACCATGGCTGCTGGTGGCTGGTGAGCATCCCCATGGGGGACAGCCCATATTCACCACAGTCATTCACACACTCCTGTCGGGGAGAGCACAGAGGGAAGGGAGGATCCCGAGCCAGCAGGGAATTCCTAAAGGAAGAGGGACAGGGAGTGTGAGCCAGTAGTGAAGGCCAGAGACAAGTCCCAGCAAATCATTCACATGCACCTGCCCCCACGTACAGCCCCCACGCACACCCCTCCTAAAGCAGCCCAGTCCAGCCCTTCTCGAGGCAACTCAGACTAGACTATTGAAAAGGTCTTTAATGTTCTTTCTAAACTTTATTATGATGAATATACATAATCTAAAATTTACTATCTCAACCACTTTTAAATGCACAGTTCAGTGTCCTTAAGTATATTCATGTTGTTGGGCAACCACTGCCACCACAAATCCGCGGAACTTTTCTTTTCATAACTGAAACTCTATCCATTAAACCCTACCCCCTTCCCATCCCAGCCCTGGGGAACCACCAGCTAGCTACCTTGTCTCCTGTGAATCTGACCACTCCCACTTCCTCCCGGGGAGTGTATGGTTTGTCCTTCAGTGGACGGTTTATTTCATGGAGCACAATATCCTCAAGGTTTGTGTCATATGTTAAAGTGTACGATGGCATTTCCTTTGTTTATTTATTTATTTATTTTTTAAAATTCTTTTTTTTTAAATATTTATTTATTTTTTAGTTTTCGGCAGAAATAACATCTTTGTTTGTATGTGGTGCTGAGGATCGAACCCAGGTCGCACGCATGCCAGGCAAGCGCACTACCGCTTGAGCCACATCCTCAGCCCTGTTTATTTATTTATTTTTATACTTGGGATTGAACCCAGGGACACTGAACCACTGAGCTACATCCTAGCCCTTTTTAATACTTTATTTAGAGACAGTCTCACTGAGTTGCTTAGGGCTTCACTAAGTTGCCGAGGTTAGCTTTAAACTCAAGAGCCTCCTACCTCAGCCTCCTGAGCCTCTGGGATTACAGGTGGGCCATGGCACCTAGCTTGGAATGTCCTTCTTAAAGCTGAATCAGATTTCATCGTATGCATAACTTGCACTTTGCTCATCATCCTTCCATTGACGGACATTTGGGTTGCTCCCACCCACGTTGCACCTATTGTGGCAATGCCGCTACCAAAGTGCGTGTACGAGAGCTCTGTGAGTACTTAGGGTATGAATGAGGTTCCTTTCTAGGCAAGCAGCTATCTCCGAGCCCTGTGAAGCCCCTTCCTTACATCAATACCCAGCCACTGGGCTTGGCTCTATTCTCAGAGGCAACATAGAAACAATGAAGCCATTTTAACCAATCGTGCTGGGGCCATTGTTTATGAAGTCCTCCAACTTGGAACTTGTTCCCCCTGGTCAGTGTCAGCTGGAGCCAGCTTTTGCTGTCACCTGGGTGGCTGCTTTTCCTCTCATCAGGATTTTGTAAGGATTTTGACACATAGTTTCTGCAGTCAGGCAACTGAGTGAAAGAGCCCAGGATTTGGAGTTGCGTAGGCATCACCATCTGGCCCTGGCTGGTCTCTCCTTTTCTCAGCGCCATAAGATGTTCTGGACACTGCTAATGGGAAGTCACCACAGCCTCTCCAGGAAGCCACAGCAGTGGAATCCATCATATATGAGAACTGCAGCCCTGGAGCTGGCTGCACATGAAAGTCACACTCTCTCTTTTGCGGTTTTTCTGATCACAGCCTGGTTGCATCCGTACCATTTTCACCAGAGTTTCTCTTCATCTGCCATTTGATATGTGGCCCTTTCAACCAGTTTGTTTAAGCCTTGAACTTGACTTTCTCAGATGGGACATGCATTTTCTCCCTCCCAGAACTCAGAACTTGCTGAAACAAGGGGGACGGGAGGACACAGCCCCAGGCCCAGAGCAGACACAGACACCTGCCATCAGCCAGCTG